TTTTTTTTTTTTTCAATTCTTCTGGTTATATTGGAAAGAGAATCTCTATTTGATATGAATTGTTCTTTTTTCTTTCTTTTTTTTAAAGTAGGCTCCACATCCACTGTGGGGCTAGAATTCATGACCCTGAGATCAAGAGTTGAATTGTTCTTATCAACTTTATTATGTATAGAATTTCATTCATATTAAACAATATGTCTACACATATCTGTATAATATCTTTGTTTTTATGAAATATAACAAAACAAGCACTTATAAATTCATGAGGTCTTGCATATCATTTGTTTAGAATAACTCTGGGATTATGAATTTATTTATGGTTCCTTTTTGGATTATATCTTCTGTTTGTTGCAGCTGGTTTACAGAATTGCAACTGATTTGTATATATTGATCTTATATACTACCACCTTGCCCAATATTTTTATATTAATTGCTATTAAACCTAGTAATTCGTCTCTAGATTCTTTTTGGGTTTTCCATATAGAAAGTCATATCATCTGTGATGAATGCTGTTTTTTTTCTAGTTGTCATTCCTTTTACTTATTTTTCTTTACTTGCCGTACTGTTTCTTAAATTTCTTAAGACTATTGAAAAGAAGTAGTAATAATAAGAATCCTTGTTTTGTTCTGGATTTTAAAGGAAATGATTCCAACTCTGCACTCTTTAGCACAGCACTGTCCAGTAGCAATATAACACGAACAACGTATGTAATTAAACATTTTCTAGTAGTCACATTAAAATAGAAAAAAATGTATAATTTAATCCAATCTATCTGATGTTTTGTTGTTTTAATAAGTAACCTACATAAACATTGTTAATAGGTATATTATATTCTTTTCCATAATAAGACTTTGATATCCAGGGTGTTATTTTATGCTTCTAGTACATCTCAATTTTGGGCTAGTGATTACTATACTGAACAGTGCAGATTTAAGATGTTTGTATGTTTCCATGGGTCAAGAAAATTCCTTTCTAATCTTAGTCTGGTGAAACTTTTTTTCTTTGCTTTTCTCTTTTTCTTTCTTTTAGGTAGAAATAGATGTTAAATTTTACTTTTCAGAATTTGGTAAATGTATGGTTTTCTTCCTGTAACAGGGTTTTATACTGAATTACATGTTTCTGTTGCATGATATTAAAATTCTCTGTATCCTTAGCCCAAACGTATCTCAATGAAGATAGTTAATTTTTAAAAATATTTTGCTGAATTCATTTTTGAAGGTTTTTTTCCCACCAATTTTCATGGGGAGCTATGCCTATAATTTTCCTATTTCCTATTAATCTTGTCTGCTTTTGATGTCATGGTTATAATGTCATGGGATAAGTTTGGAAGTCATACTTTATTTTTTAGTCTCTGGAAGAGTTTATAAAATATTGAAATAGTTTGTTCATTGTAAATTTGGAACTACCTATAGAATATTTTTTTAATGGGTAAAATTTTGGTTTCTGAGTCAAAAGAACTCTAAGTTACCAAAGGACTATTCAGACTTTCTACTTCTTTTTATGCGAGTTTTGGAAAGTTTAAAATAAAAAAGATTTTAAAATTTAACCAATTTAAACATTATATGGCAATGCTTTTATAGTTTTCTTATTATATATATTTTTTTCATCTGCATCAGTTTTATCCATTGTTTTTGTTTCTAATATTATTTGTTTGTATCTTTTCCTTTTTCCTCAAACTGTCAGCTATTTGTTTTTGTTTGTTTGTTTTGTTTGTTTTTTTGGCTTTTCGAAGGATGAATTTTCAATCATCATAAGATGTTTTTAAAATTTCATTAAGTTCTCTTTACTACCTTGTTCATTCTATATCCTTTTGGGCTTATTCTGTTTTTCTTTTCCTAATTTCTTTATCTTGTTAGTTTTTCAACTTTCTTATTTTCTAATATAAGCATTTAAGCTTATAATTTTCATTAAAGTTTTGGTCTCTATGTTTCCCACAGTGTTGATATGTAGAATTTAAGTTATCATTCAGATCTAAATATCTGAATTTTCTAAATATCTAAATTTTCTAAATATCTGAAATTTCTATTTTAGTTTCTTCTTTGACCCATAATTGTTTAGAAAAAAAAGGAGTTTTTCATTTATAAATTCACGGCTGTTTTACATTTATTTTTCCCTTTATTGATATCTAAGTTAATGGCATTTTAGTCTAAATGTGGTATGTGGTATTTTGTAAATTTCCAATGTATTCTCTAAATCTGGGTTCAGAGAGGCCACACTCTTAAAAATGTTGACAACCAAGGGGCACCTGGGTGGCTCAGTAGGTTAAGAGTCTGACTTCAGCTCAGGTCATGATCTCATGGTTCGAGATGGTCATGTTCTCATGGTGAGTTCGAGTCCTGCATCAGGCTCTGTGCTGACAGCTCAGAGCCTGGAGTCTGCTTCAGATTCTGTGTCTCCCTCTCTCTCTGCCCCTCCCCTGCTCATACTCTGTCTCTCTCTCAAAAATAAATAAAAAAATTTTTTAAAATGTTGACAACTAAGAAAGAGATACTGAAAAGAACGAGTAAGAATCTGATAATAAATATAGAATTCCTCACAGTTATGCCCCGATCTAATCTTTTGATAGCATCTTACCTTAAATTGTATGTATTTCAGGAGGTTCTTTTCCTTGGCAAATACAGTGATATATTCCTGGATCTTGTTGTTGTGCATAAAGTTAGGGAAGTGATCGGGATATGGGAAGTCTGGGAAACACATCATCTCTTTGGAAGAGTTGGTAAAGACAGACTGGTAAATACTGGCCCTGCCTTCCTCTGCATGGTCCTGTAAATGTATAGTTTCAAATGAAAGAGAGTTTGTAAATAGGTACACTTACCATGGTCATGGCCAGTTCCAAATAATTATCACTCCTTTAAGTCACCTTTACCCACAAGTAAATTCAGGAAGATGAGGAATAAATTAACTTTATTTAAACAATTTGTCACCAATCAAAGGAACTTACAATATGGAGAATATATATTTCTTAACATCTTTTCTAAGGGAAACAAATTTTAAATTTAATTATGTCTTTTTAGGAATATATAATGAGAATCAAAGAAGGGGAATTTCTGATACATTATGATATGCATTAACTTTGAGGGCATTATGCTAAGTGAAATGAGTCAGTCATAAAAGGACAAATACTGTATGATTCCACTTATATGATATATCCAGAGTCATCAAATTCATAAAGACAGAAAGAATAGTGGTTATCTGGGGCTGGGAAGAAGGAAGAATGGGGAGTGATTGTTTAACTGGTACAGAGTTTTAGTTTGGGAAGATTAAAAAAAGTTCTGAACATGGGTGATGGTATGATCATACAACAATGTGCATAAACTTAATGCCACAGAACTATGCATATCAAAATACATATCACTTTAACATTTCATGAGATAGTTCTGGTTAATTAGATCATAATATTTTCTCATGTACGTAGGGCATAGAAAACTTAGGTTATGTTTATAGTAGTGTTTTCAAATGTTTTTAACCACAACCTGTAATTAGTAATATATTTTATATTGCAACACAGCATGCACACACACACACACACACACACACACACACACCAAACGTTTTATGAATAAATCATATCCAACTACTTGAATTGCATTCTGATATTTTCTAGTCATTCCATTTAAAAATGTAGTCTGATTCATCTTTATTTCATACCACACCAATGGGTCATAGTTTCCAGTTTGAAAAACAGTGGTTTAAAAAAAATGGAAGGGTGATATTTGGAAGATTGGGTAGAAGAAAAGAGAATAGAGGCAGGAAAGAGGTTGATGTAAATCACCTAGGTCTTCAAGTTTATTCTGTGGGCTGAAATTCCAAGATTAATATACCTCAGATAAAATTGAGGGGAACACTGAGGGCAGAGGGGCTTTTGTTTTCACATTTGAAATTTTGGTGAGATTTCACTTAGTTTAAAGGCTCTGCCTGCACCAATCTGATAAGGGGAGGTTGACACAGTAGTCAAGTAGCAGTGATTAGGAAGAGGTAGGATCTTAATTTAGTGCCCTTAAGCCCATTCAGTTTGAACAGAACATAGGAGTTCCCACTTGCTCCCAAAGGGATGCAGAATTTATCTGAGACTCTTAGCGGATAGTCTACCAGAGAGTTGCCATGGAGGGGGCTAAGTGGAATATGAATAGACAGCTATAGAGTGGACTCTTCGGGTCAGGAACTCAATGGGAAGACTGGACCTCAGGGAGGATCATCTGATGTGCTCATAATAGGCAAGTGGGATTTAATCAGCAAGGAGGGCCACTGGCCTCTGACTAAGCTATGAGAGGCCAGTCTCCAAGTTCATTAACTACTGTGTTCAATTTAAGATTCCTAAAGGATAAGCATGAATGATAACCTAGCAAAACAGGAACACCAAGAGACTAGAAGGGCCAGAGAACAGTCCCAGGACCTGTGTTTGAATTTGAGAAAGTTTGGCTTTCCTCCGCCCCAAGTAACATAAGTCCTTTTTCTCCATAAGTCCAGATCCAATCTTGGAAAAAGCCAGAGGTTTTGGGTGATCTGAAAGACTGAGTATGATCCAAAAGAGACCTGGAGATTGAGCTATGAAAACTTGGGGTACTCCTTTTGTCTTGGAATGCTTTTATGCTTCTCCCTATGAAATTTTGGATATTTGTTTGTTGTCCTATTTATGCTAGATATAAAAAAGTAACCTGAGCATTAATAGTCTAGTTAATGCTTACGGTCTAGGCTATTAACGAACATTAATAACCTCCACTAGTGCTTATGGATAAAACATGCAAAATATCAAAAACTCCCAAGATGAGAGAAGATCTTCTAGGACAGAGCAAGGGTTTTAGGGTTGGTGATATGCTTCACTCAACAGTCTTACGATTGTTCCCTCAACTTCTAAGTCATGTGGTAGGCAGAATTTTAACAATGACCCTCAGTGTCCCTCATCCCTGTGTAGTCCTCTCCTCTTTGAGTGTGGGTGACACCTATAAATATCTTATCACTCCCATGACTACGTTGTCATGTGGGCTTCATCTAAACACATAATCTCTTTAAAAGCAGAACATTTTATTTGGCTGGTAGCAGAAGCCAGTTCAGATCATGAAAAGAATTCAGCTTGCTGTTCTTGCCTTTGAAGATGGAAGTAGCCACATACCAAAGAGCCTGACAGCCTTTAGGGGCTGAGAGGAATCCCCAATACGTAGCCAGCAAGGAAACAAAGACCTTCACTTAACATCAGCACGAACCTGAGTTCAGTCACAAACGTGTATGAACTTGGAAGCAGGTTCTTTTCCAGTGCCTCTAGATAAGAGCCCAGCCCAGTCAACACCTTGGTTTTGGCCTTGTGAAACCTTAAGCTGAGAATCCAGCATACTGTGCTTCTGACCTACATCATTGAGGATAATAAATGGGTGTTGTTTTGAGTTGATGAGTTTGCAGTAATTTGTTACACAGCAATAGAAAGCTAATACAAGGGTAAAGGTGAGGTACTGGAGCAAGCCAATGTTGGGAAACATTAGGTAATGTTACACTAAGGGGGGAGTTTCATAGAATAAAAATAATGCAAACCTTTGAGACAGGTTGGGGGTGCTTTTGCAACTTTGGCTGCCCCAAGATAATCAGTCTTCCTGGAAATGTTTAGCTGGTTGGTCTTCAGTTTTTCTTAGGTTCCCCCAAAGCCCCGATTACTGAGAAAGAAGTTGCAACATCAATTAAATACGTGATTTGTGACTTGCTCTTTTTTTTTATTTATTTTTTTATTTTATTTATTTATTTTTTTTTAATTTTTTTTTTCAA